AGTTTGAATTCAATACATAATATAACTATTCTTACCACGTGTACGTGTAGGATATGAGTTTCTTTCCTCATAAATATATTCCAAGTAATGTTCTTACACATATATCAGACAATAGTGATTAGACGTCAACATGATTACAAGTAAAATTAGTTAGCAGAAATTCTGCAATGTAATCGCACAAGGCCTTAGTATGGAAGGGTATTAGTGTCACAGTCTAAACAAAAATATCATCTACCTAGATGATACTGATGATGATACTGCTTTCATCTAGGTATCAATATTTTCTCGACTAATCGACGCTAGTTCCGGGTCAGTTATAAATAACCACTGGCTTAATTAATAAATAATAAATATTTAATTAATAATTACCCATTTGTTTCACCCGTCTTTACTGAGGTATTATCTACACATTGTATGAAGTAAATCTTTATTTCAATATGTCGAAGTTACTGGAGAATAACACACGCCACTCTCTTTTACAACCGTAATAAAGAGAGGAGAGCACAAAATGTTCTCCAAACTACAAACAAATAAACAGCTATAGGCCACTATTCAAAATTTAAGCGAAATTATATATCAACCATAACATGGTTAAAGCCAGAGGAATATTTTGATCCTCGTGATTACTCCATGACGGAAATTAGGGTTAAGAGGTAGACCGTGAAATGAAGGGGTGAGAATCACTCAAACTATAAACCTATATCAAACCAATACTCGCCATCATCCTATAAAGCACCGAAGGTACAATTTTTTCTGCAGTTTGTGTTTTTTTATTTTAGCGCTTATAGTTTGACATGTTGAAAAAAACAGCCAACATGTTCCCAAACATTTAATTAAATTAACACTATTTAAGTAATCACCTTCATAAAAAATATAGTATCATCTTCATAGATGTATCATCTACGACCATTTTTATCGCCAAAAAGAAATTGTCTCAGACAATTCGTGAAGAATTATACTTCAGACTGTTGGAAACTGTCTGCCACAAAATATACATTGTTGCAATGTGTGTGTCGGTCTGAAAATAATCAAGTCTGGACCAGACAATCCAGTGATTGACATCATGAGCATCGATCCACGCAATTGGGACCGATGACATGCATCAACCAAGTCAGCGAGCCTGACCACCCGATCCTGTTAGTAGCCGCTTACGACAAGCATAGTCGCCTTTTACGGCAAGCATGGGTTGCTGAAGTTCTTTCTACCCCGGATCTACACGGGTCAGATAGTAGGGTGAATTCATAGATTGCTATAGACTGTCACTGTCAGCCAAGACACGGATAGAGTGGATACTAAGACAGTTTGGTTGTGCATTTCTTTGTATCGTTTCCTGGGATGGGTCGTAGCGAGGATATTCATGAACAACCAAGCAGTCAAACCCTCTGACGTCTCTCAGTGTATGCTAAACGCTGAGTTCAAGATTAAAGGGACCAAATAAAAAATACAAACGCTTTTGTATGTTTTAGTGCCAGGGAATTCCCAGGGGTTCCCCCAGATATGTGGAAGTAGTCCGTCAGTGTTTTCGTCATTTCAAGAATACAGTCTAGTGGAAAACGTATGAACGTCTAATTGTGTCGTTCATAATTTATGAACGTCAAATTCGCGGTCATGTGACCGACCTCTCGTAAAAGCCGTATGATCGTGTAAATTTCACATTAAAAAATATATCCTTTTTTTTATTTACTTTTCGGTACATATTACACATTTAATTGAGAGCAAACCGCGGAACCTAGGCTGGCAGCCCGAGACTACACAATGGATCGGGTGGTCCGACTCTGTGACTTGATCAGTTGCGTGTCATCGTACCCCAACGGTATGGATCTTTGCTCATAATAGCGACAATCTGAATCACTAGATTGTCTGGTCCAGACCACATTATTAAGGACGCCGCCATATAGCAGTGATAATGCTGAGTTCGGCTTTAAACAACAACAACAAAAAACAAACAAACAAAGTAGAAAGATACATTGATATATATCTTGAGTGAGTGAGTTGGGTTTAACGCCGCTTTTAACAGTATTCCTGTTATATCACGGCGTGTCAGCTTAATGTGGGAGGGAAGCCCGAAGTTATGCAGGTCCCAGACGTTTACCACTTCGGTGAAACCAACGAGCACGGGTATGGTGCTGACAAACCTAGAAACATAATCGAGGCGAACCGGGATTCGAACCAACAATCATAGGTTTCTGGCGTGCCCAAGGGACGCAACTCTGCACAGCGAATCGCGGGGCCTTAGACGACTGGGCCACCCGTGCCCCGATATATATCTTGTAGATTTACAGCTACGTATTCTTCAGAAATAAACAAAACAAACAAAATTTGGCAAAAAGGTCGAGCTCACCGCCCAATGACTCCACGCAAAGCAGTCGATGAAGCCGACCAGTCATTATTTAAGAGGCGATTAGAATGAGGATCGGATGGGTACAATGTCGGGACTCATAACAAATAACAAATAATTCCATGTTTCCATGCTGCAGTTTTTCTCCTTCAATCATGCCTACTGATAAACATAATAATCGTGCTGCCAGAATCGAAAAGACTATCAAAGATATAGAGATCGGTTCAAAACTTTCGACGATGGATAAGAACGAAATTAATTTAGTTTTGTGACCCCATCCCCCATCCCCCAAATATGACGATTAGAGATGCTATTTATTGACGTGAACTGGAAGGACTCTGAAAAGTTGATTTTGTTGAATTGCAGGTTGTTCTTTTTAGTTCATACTAAGTTAGATTTATTCAACCGTCTTTGATAGGCAAAATATCTTGTTAATGACTTTAAACGAGTGTTTGTTTGTTGTTTAACGCCTCACTCAGCAATACGACAAACAACAAACAAAATAACAATCATGAATTGTTCAACAACATAAACCGCATAGCGTACAAAGCGGACGTAAAATCATTATTGTTCCCGGGGACTGCTGGCAAAGCCTAATGATGAATTGTCTCATTTGATTATGAATATGATATCTTATACTCATATTCTAAAATACATATAAATGTGAATAATAATTGTTTATTATATCTAAAAAACACCACAAATATAATGTAGTTTGTATGTGTCAAGTCGCATACCGTCACGTTGTCCAGCAGATTGAAGTCGTTTTCGTCACGCTAACATGTTGGTTTATGAACGTTTGATTTATAATCAAATACTTATTCGACTCGAAATGTCGTTACTAAGACCCGTTATTAACATACCGAGATGCTTCATGGCCTGGGTCCCCTGTCCAGCCTAGGTCAAGTATTTCACACTGTTCATCCTCCCGAGGCAAGGGACTTAACTGACTATAAAATCCCAGTTCCATACCTGCCGAACTGGGCTGGAATTATCTTTTGGCTGGACTAACGAGTCTATACATATTTCAATCAAAATCGAGGGAAGGAAATCGACAATCGCTTCATAAACAACATGGCGACTGTCGTGTCTAGGATTTGCAGAGCATGTGTACCGTCAAATGGGCGTCGACTGTTTTCCAAATCTTTTCATATTTTTTTAATCAAGGTGCTCACGTGATTTGATACACTTCGCGAGGTAAGACCAATATTTGAAAAACAAATCTCTTGATTATCGATCATATTGTCTTGACTGTGCGCCGCCATTTTGTTTGATCTTGATTATCATTCAGATTGTCTTGGCTTGGCACCGACATTTTGTTTGAATCAAATGCAAGTGATAAAAAGGGGTGGAATCGGATTGGTCAATAAGAAGATCGAACAACGAAATTGAAGCCTAGTTTGGTAAGGGTGGAAACTGGTCTTTCACAGTCAGTTATATAACTCCCTTGCCTCGGATAGTTGCGGATTGTTGAAGGCCCTCTATATATTTCGATATCACACTCGCGTGTCTTTGGCCTCCTAACCAATGCTTACAAGCGTCAATCTGAAGGTCTAGAGGTTGTATTAAATGCAGTGTGTGAAGATCTTTTTCTCTTCATAGACACGACCTCCTCCATGGCCCGACCCGTGAACATCCGGGGTAGAATAGCAACTTCAGCAACCCATGCTTGCCGTAAAAGGTGACTATGCTCGTCGTAAGAGGCGACTAACGGGCTCGGGTGGTCAGGCTCGCTGACCTGGTTGAAGCAATCCATCGATCCTGATTGCATGGATCGATGCTCATGATATCAATAGCGTGTATGGCCACCATGTGCGTTGACAACTGCCACACAACGCCACATCGATTCATCTGCACAAAAACGGGTGTTATCTGAAGACAATACGTGGCCATTACTGTTTAAATACACAATAAGGGCCCACAATGATAACTGGTCAAAATGTTAAAATTTTAGGATTGTGAAGTTTTTAATTTGGTTCAGTATATAATGTATCCACTTTCACGTCGACTTACTTATAAAAATACAACCGTTACAATGTCTAAAATATTACCCATATCTTCAATTAGCTAAACATTTTGTTCCATATCGGTTAGATATGATAGTTCAATATTCATTATAACTGTGTACATATAATTATTGACCTGGAAATCGTTAATGACTAAAGTATCTTTTATTTGGCGAACTGTGGCAACTCAAACGACTGAACCTGTGTCTCCCTTCTGTTGCTATGTTGGTTTGTTGTTTAACGCCGCAGTCAGCAATATCCCAGCTATATGACTGCGGTCTGGAACTAATCGAGTCTGGACCAAACAATCCAGTGATTGACATTATGAGCACCGATCCACGCAAACCTCACAACCCGATCCCGTTAGTCGCCTGTTAGGTTGGTTGGTTGGTTTGTTGTTTAACGCCGCACTCAGCAATATTCCAGCTATATGACGGCGGTCTGTAAATAATCGAGTCTGGACCAGACAATCCAGTGATTAATATCATGAACATCGATCCACGCAATTGGGATCGATGACATGCATCAACCAAGTCAGCGAGCTTGACCACCCGATCCCGTTAGTCGCCTTTTACGACAAGCATAGTCACCTTTTACGGCAAGCATGGGTTGCTGAAGACCTATTCTCTTCGCGGGTCGGTGAAGAATGTACTCTACCAAGACATGTCCTACATTCAGCACATGTTCAAGAAAAGAGCAGAATAGCTTAACTGAACATTTGCTGAATTTCAAGAAGTTGAAGATTTTCCTTTTAACCAGATGACACGATTCTTGTAACAAAATATACTTGCTCTATTTCCCATTGAAATGCCATAAATATAATCTCCCAAATCGAAAGTTGTAAGAACAAAATGGAAACGCAGACACTTTCAATTCAATACATACGCACATACATTTTGTTATCACAGGATATCCTGTTCAAACAACTTCGATAACGCATTGCAAATGTACTGGTTGAAACTCGGCCCTGAGCCACCTTCCCACTAACCATCTAAAGCTTATGCAATGTTATATTACCTTGATGAGTATTCGAAACGGATTAGGGCCAGGCTTATAAGATTATCTCTCTCCAGATTAGGCCTTGTGTATTAGTATGTGTGCAAGGAGCAAGGAGTTAATAAGTTGAACCAACGCAAAACGAGTTTGAGATAAATAGACGGTGCACGGAATTTGGGCAAACATAGTTTGGTTTGTTACAGAGAGTGTGTGCATGTTGTGCACGTGCAGGTTATGACGATGAAATTGACTACGCTCCCGTGGACACACGTGTTTCTCATAAGACTACTGAAAGGTGACAAGTCGATAATTGAAGTCTCTAACAGTCGTTTGACAGAAGTTAATTACGAACAAAAAACATGTCAAAGCTATGATTATCCAGTCATGTCAATATAAATCCAACTGCAAACACGGACGTAAATCTCCTGCAAACACGGACGTTTGTTGCCTCTGTCAATGATGAGAATCACATATTACTCCTTTGTGGTGTTATAACCATTTATGAAAACGCTATGTTCCCTCAAGATTCACAAATTCTCCATCCATGAGTTATGTACATTAATATCAACAGCTTTCCCTGTGTATTCATCAAGGTGAACAACATGAACTATGGCTAAATATATTATCATTGACTCGCCAATTAATAGTATAACTTGTTTACGGATGTTCTTGAGAAATGCGCTGGTTCAGAAAAAAATACCCACGTGAATGGAGGTGATTTGCAAAGAAAGAATTCATCAAAGTTGAAAACCGACGAATTCACTGACAGGATACGTGTTTCTTTCCTCAAAACATTATTCTAAATAATGTTATCACACAATTACCAGAACATAGTGCTTAGACGTCAACATGTTCACATGTATAGTTATTAAGCAGACATTCTGTCCTGTAATCACACAACACGTTACATAGGTTGGAATGATCCGGCTTGCACATACATTGTCCCGAGAAGTATATATTTGTAGTTCTGTCCCTGATATGCTCATCACCGAGAATCAACTTTACTTCAGCAGAATCTAGAGAGGGACTTTCAATAGACGGCTAACGTCTGCAGAAGACAAAAAACGAACTGCTGGGCAAAAGAAAGTATACACTTGAAAATTGGACTTGACCAAAACGCTTCAAACGTTATAAAACTGAAAACAGTCATTTTGAGCCACGGTCAAACATGGGCAGTTTATGACCCGCAGTTAATCTCACCGGTAATGCATACGTAGATTTAGCATTCGTTCTTCTGGATTGCTTCTAGACAGAAGTTACATTCGGAAAGATGTCATTCCACATGGACTCCCAGTTCCTCACTCCCGACATAAACATGGCTCTTTTGATATTCATGTTACTTGTTGCATCCCTTTTATACGAAAAACCGCTGATGAAGTCGGACAAAGTCAGGCCTACTTTCAACGTAAGGATACCAGTGACGTAGACATCGTCCACCCAGAAGTATCGCGCATCTTCAGACGCTTTGTACAGTGATCTTGCGACATCCGGTGACATGACGTAACCAAATCCTTCACAATAATTCGGGAACTTCTGAAAAGGGTACTCGCTTGGGCTGACGTACCATTTAGTTCTGTTGTGCCTCAACGGCCCTTGTCGGTAATACACAGAACAGTATAACAGTCTGTCCTTTGCCCCAGGAAGATGAAAGTAGTCCACCAGATTGTATGTATTAAGCATGGTGTCATCGTCAAGTTTTACAATCAATTTTATTCCCGGGCATTCCTTCAGGATCCAACCTAATGACATTATATGCTTGTAAGTTAGGTTTTTATAGGTGTCTGCAAAATTCCCTTGAACTATATCACCGCGGAGTAAGGATTCGGTTTCAAGGACCTTTTGTAAAGTTTGATTGCTAGTTTCACCGAGCATAAAGACAGTTCGAAAAGACAGACCTCTGACCGTCTTGACCGACCCCCATGTTTTCCTCACCAGCTGTCGCTTGGCAAAATGATCACACCCCGAATGGACAAATATTAGAATGTCTGGGGAACCATCTCTACACGTGCTTGTGGTCAGATGGTAGGCAAAATGATGACGGTTCAGCAGCGGGTCCAATTCATCATCACTGACAATATGACTCCAGTTGAGAATGTCTTTATATATCAATCCTATCTTATCCATAGGCAGATTTTCAAAACGTTGATTCGTTAACAATTTGCTGGCATTCATTATCGTTTTGTGAAGTTCCGAATTCTCCATTTTCATCAAAGGTTTCTTTAAATGAGGGTTGCCAGGCTGATGGCCTTCGTCTCTCAGTTTCCGCCCATATAAGCCATTGTTCAAGACAACCTGCGTCTCATGACGTCGTATAGCCAGCAAAATAACCCAGAAGAACACCGACGTCGCTGTTATCATCCAAAAGAACATGTGCCATCTTCTCAGGAGAAACTTTTGGAACATATTTATTGTGCGTCTGTTCATTATGCCTATATATTAACAGGCATATTCAGACTTCCGGTGTAACAATGGCCATCTGTCAGGGCAGATCGCTGAAATAGATAAATGGTGAAGGAGTACAGGTAATTCGACGTATTACTGCAGAGAGACGATGTTACCTGGAATTACCATGTGACCTGAACTAGAACAGTCTCTGGTCAACAAATATATTTATAAAATAAATCCAAGGTATTTGTAAATGAATTGAATAAACTGGAAAAATATATTTTTAATAAAAAACAATTAATTTTTAAATATTTCTATTGGTACTGAAAGACGTTTTTCATACCTGGTTAACTGAAAAAACCGGATCATAACATATATGTGGAATTACTAGTAGTATATATATGTCGAGTTACTAGTAGTATATATATGTCGAGTAACTAGTAGTATATATATATATATGTCGAGTTACTAGTATATATATATATGTCGAGTTACTAGCAGTATATATATGTCGAGCTACTAGTAGTATATATGTTACAGGAAACAAGTATAATCAGTGATTAAGTCTAATGACTGAAAATTTCAGTGATTATGTCTAATAACTGATTCACTCGGTGGTTATGTCTAATTACTGAAATCTTCAGTAATTAGACATAATCACTGAAATGAACCAAGGGATTTTATACTTGTTTACTGAAAGCATATCCCTGCCTTGTTTTTATAATGTGTGCTAGTTTTGAAATTAGATTAGCTATCAAAGTAAATACAACCTTCTGTAACCAGATACCTTACACAAAAATCACAGAAATAAGCTTAAACAGTTCAATCTTTTATTTCATAAAATGGTATGACGTGAATGGTATGACGTGAATGGTATGACATGAATGGTATGACATGAATGATATGACAAATAGCAGTCAGATGGACACTCAGGAATGTTTGTTTGCACATGAAAGACTTGAATGACATCTAGAATTACATTGCATCTTGGCCTTAAAACATTTGCAGCGATTGGTCTGACACCGTTTACTTCCAACACAATTACACCTTACAAAGCCTTGACCACCACAGACTGAGTCAAGTTGAACCGCTTGACGCAAAGAGCGTTCGATCGGTATTGAAATCGGTATTGAAACTGGACGAACTTAAGTCCTACAGTCCAATCACTGGTGTCATTGTCTCCAAGCCAAGCAACTAGAATGTTTAAATGTCACAGTTCGCCCTCTCTACAGAACCTTGGCTTTGGGGATGTCGAGACTTTCCGTTTGTTTACAGGAGATTGGCTTAGGACAGGACAGCCTTCTCACAAGTTATTATAAAAAGGCAGGGATATGCTTTCAGTAAACAAGTATAAGATCCCTTGGTTCATTTCAGTGATTATGTCTAATTACTGAAGATTTCAGTAATTAGACATAACCACCGAGTGAATCAGTTATTAGACATAATCACTGAAATTTCCAGTTATTAGACTTAATCACTGATTATACTTGTTTCCTGTAACATATATATGTCGAGTTACTAGTAGTATATATATGTCGTGTTTCTAGTAGTATATATATATGTCGAGTTACTAGTAGTATACATATGTCGAGTTATTACTTGTATATATATATGTTTAGTTACCAGGGGAGTCGTAGTTACTACTAGTAGAGTCTCCATTTTAAAACCATACTGATGATACGGATACTGCTGGAATGTGAAGATAATCGTCGATATATCGAGTTAAAAGGAGTTTATAATATAAGGTTTCACTGATTACGAAAATAGTGAAAATTAGCAATAGTGAAATATAGAGAAATATATTTGTTTCCACAGAACACAACGTCGGATGAGTCGATTTGTCGGCAGAGGCGACATTCAGTGCTTTTGTCTCATATATTGAATCCTTAGTGTATGTTTAGGCTTGATATATGGGTTGTCTGATTGTATTCTGTCAGTTATATGACTCGACGGTGTAACAGCTGAAACAGACAACCTAACTACTCTCCTCAAACGATTAATAACACAGCCACAAGCCGTCGCTAACGGCGTTGTCAAAGCTAGAGTTACAAACGATTAATAATAACACTGCCACAAGCCGTCGCTAACGGCGTTGTCAAAGCTACAGTTACAAAACCCGAACAATTATCAGTTAACGTATACGTACATGTAACAAGGTAGGTTTTGAGAACTGATATCTTGGAATTCAACTTGTTGGATTCAGGGCACAATCAGTTGAAAGGTCATGTGTTTGGATATGTATAGTAATGAAATTGTAAGTCTAATGAAATCATTGAACAAGAAAAACAAACATTTAAAAGATGTTTTGACATCATCTGTCGTCTATTATTTCGCCCTCATAATTTAACTACTATGTATGAAAATTCAGAGCTTAACCATCCTAAAAAGACAGCTGTTGAAGCCGTCACACAATTTATTTTATAAACAGATCAAATGATATTCTACACAGCTAGTATAACAAAGTATTTGTTAATATACACATGGAGAAAATGTGCGCACCATATATATATATATATATATATATATATATATATATATATATATATATATATATATATATATATATATATATATATATATACACATATATATATATCTATATATATATATATTTCTAAAGTGTATATATTGTAATAGTATATTATATATTGTTCTGTAACAATTATAATTGTTTCACTGTCCTCTCCTCTTGAAAACATATGCTGTGACCCAGTACTTGCGACCACCTGGAGGAACATACTGTGTTCTTGTACCTCCTGCCCAAGAGGTGTCGGGGGTATCTTGGACTTATGAGATAAATTTCAAATGTAGATTGCAGTGCTTAACTTTTGTCTGAAAACAAATTCGATTGTCAAAAGTCATGTTCTGTAACAGTTATAATTGTTTGACTGTCCTCTCCTCTTAAAAACATATGGTGTGACCCAGTACTTGCGACCACCTGGAGGAACATACTGTGTTCTTGTACCTCCTGCCCAAGAGGTGTCGGGGGTATCTTGGACTTATGAGATAAATTTCAAATGTAGATTGCAGTGCTTAACTTTTGTCCAGTTGAATATATAGTTTGGCATACATTTGTAAACATACACTGGAATTAGTGTGAGAGAATGTGTAGGCATGTATTCACACAAAAAAACACTTGACTTCGAATCATATTGTAACGTTTATTATGTGATTTGTTTCATATGAATTGATGGTCAAATATCGAAACCAATGTATGAATGTTGTTTTAGGCCACTGTCAGCGCCATTCACTGCCAGCCACCCCAACAGTACCCGGGGACGATGACATGTAGGTTATTGGCCATTGCAAAGATCCGATGCTCAATTTAATCGTCTTGGATATTGGGGACCGTTACTGTCCCGGATTCCACGAATCACTTCGAGTTCACGAGGTTACATTACATTGTATGTTTGCAGAGTTCATACAAACATACAAACATAAAAACTGTTACAACTGGGTGCCTGTCTAGTTGTACTGCATGTTACAACTGGGTGCCTGTCTAGTTGTACTGCATGTTACATGAAGGTGCCTGTCTAGTTGTACTGCATATTACATGAGGGTGCCTGTCTAGTTGTACTGCATGTTACAACTGGGTGCCTGTCTAGTTGTACTGCATGTTACAACTGGGTGCCTGTCTAGTTGTACTGCATGTTACAACTGGGTGCCTGTCTAGTTGTACTGCATGTTACAACTGGGTGCCTGTCTAGTTGTACTGTATGTTACATGAGGGTGTCTGTCTAGTTGTACTGCATGTTACATGAGGGTGCCTGTCTAGTTGTACTGCATGTTACAACTGGGTGCCTGTCTAGTTGTACTGCATGTTACATGAGGGTGCCTGTCTAGTTGTACTGCATGTTACATGAAGGTGCCTGTCTAGTTGTACTGCATATTACAACTGGGTGCCTGTCTAGTTGTACTGCATGTTACAACTGGGTGCCTGTCTAGTTGTACTGCATGTTACAACTGGGTGCCTGTCTAGTTGTACTGCATGTTACAACTGGGTGCCTGTCTAGTTGTACTGCATGTTACAACTGGGTGCCTGTCTAGTTGTACTGTATGTTACATGAGGGTGTCTGTCTAGTTGTACTGCATGTTACATGAGGGTGCCTGTCTAGTTGTACTGCATGTTACAACTGGGTGCCTGTCTAGTTGTACTGTATGTTACATGAGGGTGCCTGTCTAGTTGTACTGCATGTTACAACTGGGTGCCTGTCTAGTTGTACTGCATGTTACATGAGGGTGCCTGTCTAGTTGTACTGCATGTTACAACTGGGTGCCTGTCTAGTTGTACTGCATGTTACAACTGGGTGCCTGTCTAGTTGTACTGTATGTTACAACTGGGTGCCTGTCTAGTTGTACTGCATGTTACATGAGGGTGTCTGTCTAGTTGTACTGCATGTTACATGAGGGTGCCTGTCTAGTTATACTGCATGTTACAACTGGGTGCCTGTCTAGTTGTACTGTATGTTACATGAGGGTGCCTGTCTAGTTGTACTGCATGTTACATGAGGGTGCCTGTCTAGTTGTACTGCATGTTACAACTGGGTGCCTGTCTAGTTGTACTGCATGTTACAACTGGGTGCCTGTCTAGTTGTACTGTATGTTACATGAGGGTGCCTGTCTAGTTGTACTGCATGTTACATGAGGGTGCCTGTCTAGTTGTACTGCATGTTACAACTGGGTGCCTGTCTAGTTGTACTGCATGTTACGACTGGGTGCCTGTCTAGTTGTACTGTATGTTACATGAGGGTACCTGTCTAGTTGTACTGCATGTTACATAAGGGTGCCTGTCTAGTTGCACTGCATGTTATAACTGGGTGCCTGTCTAGTTGTACTGCATGTTACATGAGGGTGCCTGTCTAGTTGTACTGTATGTTACATGAGGGTGCCTGTCTAGTTGTACTGCATGTTACATGAGGGTGCCTGTCTAGTTGTACTGCATGTTACAACTGGGTGCCTGTCTAGTTGTACTGCATGTTACGACTGGGTGCCTGTCTAGTTGTACTGTATGTTACATGAGGGTACCTGTCTAGTTGTACTGCATGTTACATAAGGGTGCCTGTCTAGTTGCACTGCATGTTATAACTGGGTGCCTGTCTAGTTGTACTGCATGTTACATGAGGGTGCCTGTCTAGTTGTACTGTATGTTACATGAGGGTGCCTGTCTAGTTGTACTGCATGTCACATGAGGGTGCCTGTCTAGTTATACTGCATGTTACAACTGGGTGCCTGTCTAGTTGTACTGCATGTTACAACTTGGTGCCTGTCTAGTTGTACTGCATGTTACATGAGGGTGCCTGTCTAGTTGTACTGCATGTTACATGAGGGTGCCTGTCTAGTTATACTGTATGTTACATGTGGGTGCCTGTCTAGTTGTACTGCATGTTACAACTGGATGCCTGTCTAGTTGTACTGTATGTAACGTGAGGGTGCCTGTCTAGTTGTACTGCATGTTACAACTGGGTGCCTGTCTAGTTGTACTGCATGTTACATGAGGGTGCCTGTCTAGTTGTACTGTATGTTACATGAGGGTGCCTGTCTAGTTGTACTGCATGTTACATGAGGGTGCCTGTCTAGTTGTACTGCATGTTACATGAGGGTGCCTGTCTAGTTGTACTGCATGTTACATGAGGGTGCCTGTCTAGTTGTACTGCATGTTACAACTGGGTGCCTGTCTAGTTGTACTGCATGTTACAACTGGGTGCCTGTCTAGTTGTACTGCATGTTACATGAGGATGCCTGTCTAGTTGTACTGTATGTTACATGAGGGTGTCTGTCTAGTTGTACTGCATGTTACATGAGGGTGCCTGTCTAGTTGTACTGCATGTTACAACTGGGTGCCTGTCTAGTTGTACTGCATGTTACATAAGGGTGCCTGTCTAGTTGTACTGCATGTTACATGAGGGTGCCTGTCTAGTTGTACTGCATGTTACATGAGGGTGCCTGTCTAGTTGTACTGCATGTTACAACTGGGTGCCTGTCTAGTTGTACTGCATGTTACATGAGGGTGCCTGTCTAGTTGTACTGCATGTTACATGAGGGTGTCTGTCTAGTTGTACTGCATGTTACAACTGGGTGCCTGTCTAGTTGTACTGCATGTTACAACTGGGTGCCTGTCTAGTTGTACTGCATGTTACAACTGGGTGCCTGTCTAGTTGTACTGCATGTTACAACTGGGTGCCTGTCTAGTTGTACTGCATGTTACATGAGGGTGCCTGTCTAGTTGTACTGCATGTTACATGAGGGTGTCTGTCTAGTTGTACTGCATGTTACATGAGGGTGCCTGTCTAGTTGTACTGTATGTTACATGAGGGTGCCTGTCTAGTTGTACTGCATGTTACATGAGGGTGCCTGTCTAGTTGTACTGTATGTTACATGAGGGTGTCTGTCTAGTTGTACTGCATGTTACATGAGGGTGCCTGTCTAGTTGTACTGTATGTTACATGAGGGTGCCTGTCTAGTTGTACTGCATGTTACATGAGGGTGCCTGTCTAGTTGTACTGTATGTTACAACTGGGTGCCTGTCTAGTTGTACTGTATGTTACATGAGGGTGCCTGTCTAGTTGTACTGCATGTTACATGAGGGTGCCTGTCTAGTTGTACTGTATGTTACATGAGGGTGTCTGTCTAGTTGTACTGTATGTTACATGAGGGTGCCTGTCTAGTTGTACTGTATGTTACATGAGGGTACCTGTCTAGTTGTACTGTATGTTACATGAGGGTGCCTGTCTAGTTATACTGCATGTTACATGAGGGTGCCTGTCTAGTTGTACTGTATGTTACATGAGGGTGCCTGTCTAGTTGTACTGTATGTTACATGAGGGTGCCTGTCTAGTTGTACTGTATGTTACATGTTGGTGCCTGTCTAGTTGTACTGTATGTTACATGAGGGTGCCTGTCTAGTTGTACTGCATGTTACAACTGGATGCCTGTCTAGTTGTACTGCATGTTACATGAGGGTGCCTGTCTAGTTGTACTGCATGTTACAACTGGATGCCTGTCTAGTTGTACTGTATGTTACATGAGGGTACCTGTCTAGTTGTACTGCATGTTACAACTGGGTGCCTGTCTAGTTGTACTGCATGTTACAACTGGATGCCTGTCTAGTTATACTGCATGTTACAACTGGGTGCCTGTCTAGTTGTACTGCATGTTACAACTGGGTGCCTGTCTAGTTGTACTGCATGTTACATGAGGGTGCCTGTCTAGTTGTACTGTATGTTACATGAGGGTGCCTGTCTAGTTGTACTGTATGTTACATGAGGGTACCTGTCTAGTTGTACTGCATGTTACAACTGGGTGCCTGTCTAGTTGTACTGCATGTTACATGTGGGTGCCTGTCTAGTTGTACTGTATGTTACATGAGGGTACCTGTCTAGTTGTACTGTATGTTACATGAGGGTGCCTGTCTAGTTGTACTGCATGTTACATGAGGGTGCCTGTCTAGTTGTACTGCATGTTACATGAGGGTGCCTGTCTAGTTGAACTGTATGTTACATGAGGGTGCCTGTCTAGTTGTACTGTATGTTACATGAGGGTACCTGTCTAGTTGTACTGCATGTTACAACTGGGTGCCTGTCTAGTTGTACTGTATGTTACATGAGGGTGCCTGTCTAGTTGTACTGTATGTTACATGAGGGTGCCTGTCTAGTTGTACTGTATGTTACATGAGGGTGCCTGTCTAGTTGTACTGTATGTTACATGTGGGTGCCTGTCTAGTTGTACTGCATGTTACATGAGGGGACCGTTACTGTCCCGGATTTCACGAATCACTTCGAGTTCACGAGGTTACATTACATTGTATGTTTGCAGAGTTCATACAAACATAGAAACATAAAAACTGTTACAACTGGGTGCCTGTCTAGTTGTACTGCATGTTACAACTGGGTGCCTGTCTAGTTGTACTGCATGTTACATGAAGGTGCCTGTCTAGTTGTACTGCATGTTACAACTGGGTGCCTGTCTAGTTGTACTGCATGTTACAACTGGGTGCCTGTCTAGTTGTACTGTATGTAACATGAGGGTGCCTGTCTAGTTGTACTGCATGTTACAACTGGGTGCCTGTCTAGTTGTACTGCATGTTACATGAAGGTGCCTGTCTAGTTGTACTGCATGTTACAACTGGGTGCCTGTCTAGTTGTACTGCATGTTACATGAAGGTGCCTGTCTAGTTGTACTGCATGTTACAACTGGGTGCCTGTCTAGTTGTACTGTATGTAACATGAGGGTGCCTGTCTAGTTGTACTGCATGTTACAACTGGGTGCCTGTCTAGTTATACTGTATGTTACAACTGGGTGCCTGTCTAGTTGTACTGTATGTTACATGAAGGTGCCTGTCTAGTTGTACTGCATGTTACAACTGGGTGCCTGTCTAGTTGTACTGCATGTTACATGAAGGTGCCTGTCTAGTTGTACTGCATGTTACAACTGGGTGCCTGTCTAGTTGTACTGTATGTAACATGAGGGTGCCTGTCTAGATGTACTGTATGTAACATGAGGGTGCCTGTCTAGTTGTACTGCATGTTATAAATGGGTGCGCATGGCAAAGAACAGAAATTGGCAACCTGTGTCTGGTGTTGAAAATACACATCTTGCTGAGACAAACAATAAAGACACATCGGTACGGTGGGGAAAACTGTCTGGTTGCTTATTTTTTTTCCTCCAAAAAAATAAAAGCTCGAAAACTGCTGAATTTATTATGTAGCAGTTGAAAGTGTTTTATCGAAACTGTCATGTGACTTTTGGCCTATTTTTGGGAGAATAAAAAGGCTAAGTGCAGAACACGCGAAACAGTTGTACGTCCCTAGGTTTATTGTTAAACAGTCGGATTAAACAGTAAGTCTATTTGAGCTGCTATAATCCCACATCAAGCTGACACGCCGTGATGTCACTAGAGTATTGTTCAAAGCGGCGTTAGACCCATGACACTCACTACATGTATTTGAGCTATCTTTCTTTTGTAATGTAATGGTTGTTTAGCAAGGTGATATCGGACTGATGAAAATCCACATCAACCTACTGCATATTGCTAAATCAATCAACTAATATTGAAAGAGGTTTTAGTCAATATTTGCTACACGAAATAACACGTTTCACATTGACATGTAGAAGAACCGCGAAGCAGAACAACGCGAAGATAGGTGTGCGACGTCGATTACTATTCATACGGACCATACGTACATACGGACCATGCCGTACATACGGACCACTGTTACGATCAACCGTTCAGGTTCCGGAGCTTAGCGGGCCATGTTCGGCAGTCTGCGGTCCATGTCCCATCTAGATATTGTTAGTGTTTATTTTGTTTCTTGTTTAACGCCGCGCTAAGACATATTCTACCTATATGACGGCTGTCTGTAAATAATCGAGTCTGGACCAGAAAATCAAGTGATTGTCATCACGAGCATCGATCAAGGCAATTGGCATCAACCAAGGCCATTTTAGTCTATTTAGTCGCCTCTTGTGACAAACATACGTTGCTTCTGACCTGTATTCTGAGCCTGTGTTCCCACGGGTTTGGTGGCATCAGTGCCTTGACATTATACAAGCCTTGAGTACTTACGTGTGGTGTATTTCAGTCGCAGTCAGGTCGTCGTGCGCTCTCACACACCGCCGGCGATTCACGGACATGAAAACCCGGTGATGAACTGTGACATGTAACCTTGTCAGCCGAGAGTCTGTATCGACATCACTGCAGATGGCGAGATGTGGCTAAGTCCGTTTATTTGTTCGCTTGCAGCTACATCGATTGTGAATGTAGGATATGTATATTGTAACGGTCGATGGTATATACTACATACATACAGCGGAGACATGATGGGTTGTGAAGGTATAGCTATGAAGTGTTAATGTACACGTGGGATTTGGTCATGTATGAGTGAGTGAACTTGATAAATAATTGCTGTTTTACGTCGCATGCCAGCTGTATAAGGCCTTTATTTATGAGCCATGCATTCAGCTTGATCACACATTGCGCCAACTCCTTCTACATTTTAGATTTTTGGGGTATCGGGGACCTTTTCCTACCCGGAATCCATCCGGGGGTACCTTTCGAGGTTGGCCGAGATTAACATGTTTGCGAACCGTTTTCTAGCTATGAATCTATACAGTTACGTTTTCAGATGTATTCTATTGTTGTTGTTTTTTTTGTATTAGTGGGGGTATTGTAGGTTCATGCTTGAACATATAAATATTAATTAATGACGAGATCGGTGTCGAGTTATACATGGCTGATTGTAGATAGATGTCGAGTTATACATGACTGATTGTAGATAGATGTCGAGTTATACACGGTTGACTGTGGATAGATGTCGAGTTATACACGGTTGATTGTAGATAGGTGTCGAGAGGTACATGGGTGATTGTGGGAAGGTGTCGAGTTCTACATGGCTGATTACAGATAGATGTCGAGTTATACATGACTGATTGTAGATAGATGTCGAGTTATACAAGGTTGACTGTGGATAGATGTCGAGTTATACACGGTTGATTGTAGATAGGTGCCAAGAGGTACATTGGTGATTGTGGGTAGGTGTTGAGGTATACATGGCTGATTGTAGATAGATGTCGAGTTATACACGGATGATTGTAGATAGGTGTCAAGAGGTACATGGGTGATTGTGGGTAGGTGTCGAGGTATACATGGCTGATTGTAGATAGATGTCGAGTTATACACGGATGATTGTAGATAGGTGCCAAGAGGTACATGGGTGATTGTGGGTAGGTGTCGAGGTATACATGGCTGATTGTAGATAGATGTCGAGTTATACACGGATGATTGTAGATAGGTGTCAAGAGGTACATGGGTGGTTGTGGGTAGGTGTCGAGGTATACATGGCCAATTGTAGATAGACGTCGAGTTATATACGCTTGGTTGTAAATAGGTGTCAAGAGGTCCTTGGGTGATTGTAGGTAAGTGTCGACTTTCCTGATGCTGATGTTTGACTGTGCTGATGCTGATATTTGATGTTTGACTGCGCTGATGCTGATGTTTGACTGTGCTGATACTGATGTTTGATTTTGACTATGCTGATACTGATGTTTGACTGTCCTGATGCTGATGTTTGATTATGTTGATGTTTGACTGTGCTGATGTTTGACTGTCCTGATGATGTTGTTTGACTGTCCTGATGCTGATGTTTGACTGTCCTGATTCAGATGTTTGATTGTGTTGTTATTTGACTGTCCTGATGCAGATGTTTGATTGTGCTGATGCTGATGTTTGATTGTGTTGATGCTGATGTTTGACTGTGCTGATGCTGATCTTCGATTGTGTTGTTGTTTGACTGTCCTGATGCTGATGTTTGACTGTGCTGATGCTGATGTTTGATTGTGCTGATGCTGATGTTTGATTGTTGAGATGCTGATGTTTTGATTGTGCTGATGCTGATGTTTTATTGTGTTGATGCTGATGTTTGACTGTGCTGATGCTGATGTTTCATTGTGCTGATGTTTGACTGTGCTGATGCTGATGTTTGACTGTCCTGATCCTGATGTTTGACTGTCCTTATGATGATATTTGACTGTCCTGATGCTGACGTTTGATTGTGTTGTTATTTGACTGTCCTGATGCTGATGTTTGATTATGTTGATGTTTGACTGTGCTGATGCTGATGTTTGACTGTCCTGATGATGTTGTTTGACTGTCCTGATGCTGATGTTTGACTGTCCTGATTCAGATGTTTGATTGTGTTGTTATTTGACTGTCCTGATGCTGATGTTTGACTGTGCTGATGCTTGATTGTTGAGATGCTGATGTTTGACTGTGCTGATGCTTGATTGTTGAGATGCTGATGTTTGATTGTGCTGATGCTGATGTTTTATTGTGTTGATGCTGATGTTTGACTGTGCTGATGCTGATGTTTCATTGTGCTGATGTTTGACTGTCCTGATGCTGACGTTTGATTGTGTTGTTATTTGACTGTCCTGATGCTGATGTTTCATTGTGCTGATGCTGATGTTTGACTGTGCTGATGCTGATGTTTGACTGTGCTGATGCTTGATTGTTGAGATGCTGATGTTTGATTGTGCTGATGCTGATGTTTTATTGTGTTGATGCTGATGTTTGACTGTGCTGATGCTGATGTTTCATTGTGCTGATGTTTGACTGTCCTTATGCTGATATTTGACTGTCCTGATGCTGACGTTTGATTGTGTTGTTATTTGACTGTCCTGATGCTGATGTTTGATTGTGTTATTTGACTGTCCTGATGCTGATGTTTGACTGTCCTGATACTGATGTTTGACTGTCCTGATGCTGATGTTTGACTGTACTGATGTTTGTAATGATGCTGAAATGCTACTACTTATCTGAACGTCAACATACTCACGAGACGTCAATATTAATCAATATCAAAGTGTACTGTTGAGCTTACCCTCAGTTCCTGTAGGCAGTCGAAGACGTATTTATTAACCCAACACTTACAATTGTCAACATTCTGACATCGAACACAAAGTTTGACAGATTGTATGCATTGACAGTTAACGAGATTCTACTGTTGGTACCACGCGCCCCAAATCGATGGGTTAGCCGTGAATGCATACAGTTTTATGATATAGACGAGACATACCGAAATACATTATTAGAAATACGCTTTGTAATATAAAAGGGTTATCCAGAAAGAGTACAAATACTAAAAAAAAAGCATAAAGCCAAAACAGGTTCATTTAGACAGATCAAGGATTATCAACTTACAGGCCAGTGAGTCTACTCACAATGCGGATGTATTTTCAGATAAAGACCTTAAGAAAACTATTAAAGACATCACAAGATCAAGCAGCTAGCAAGGAAGAGGCAACCTAACTTTGACCAGGTGTTGCAGCTTTTCCAGAGAGCTGTCCAACACTCAGCACATTAAAGAATTAAATTCATATTGACATGGGTGATTGATGGGATTTGACAGCTGTAGGCGGCAGCTCGTTGGTTAATTGTTTGTGTAAGATACAGATAAATAGCCGGTCTGAATAGTCACTGCAGTCAGAAAAAAACATGTTGCATATATATTTTAGTTTGTAAACTGAGGGGCAGAAGAAAGGATACCGAATTTGTTTCAATGTAATTGAAAATCGAAACTGTTATTGATTTCATTATTTCTATTTTAGCATCACTTATTCATGCCACAGTTTGTAAATAGTAATCTGTTGCTGGGTAATTTTGTGTAAACATAAATTGGTTCAATGAAGACAGGGGTAAGAAATGAATCTGCATCCATATGACCCCTACCATCTTTGAAACGTTGTACATTTGTGCCGAAAAAAAAGTAAATTAATTTATTTTCAAAGTTAAGATGTCTAAGACACCCACGAGCAGTTACGTATTATGCGAATTGTTTATGTATTTTTATATACTCATAAAAAAGAAACGCACAGGTAGAGTTTTAGTAAATTTAATGTACCTAATAAAGTCGATATATTTAATTTAATATCATAGACAAAAATATGAAATTTTGGAACACGATAGTCACATGTTGCGCTGAACTCAGTATCTCGCGTGACCGCCCCGGGAAGCAATCACGGCTCTGCATCTCCTCGGAACTGATTGGATAAGTGTACGAATTCTGTCCTGTGGAATTCTGCGCCATTCTGCTTGTAACGCGTTGGCCAGTTGTGGGAGTGTCTGCGACGTGTTCTGACGTTGACGTACACGTCGATCGAGTTCATATCAGAGATGTTCGATTGGGTTGAGATCTGGAGATCTCGACGGCCAGGGCAAAACGAAGGAACTACCACTACCACGAGTTACGAATGCTATAACTTGCACGTGGTTTTTGCTTTACTGTTTTCCTCCATGACAAGTGTGAAAGCAAAGCCGTTTAAGACATTTTAAATCGACAATGGCTGCGTTTTGACGCACCGTTTGTCGAATAACAGGTCACCAACATTTTCCAATAACATATATCCAATTTATATACTGTTTTTTTTTGTAACGTCAGGTTCAATGAACTACACTCTGCCTGTGCGTTTCTTTTTTTTGAAGAGGGTATGTCAGATCTTGTATTGAGTACCATCCATCACGTTATGCCAGGTCAACTCTTCATGGACAGAGCTGTGCCTACATGGACTGAGACCCAGCACAGGAACCTTGTCTAGATGTAGGACACAGAAGAAGAAGGATGTCCATATACGTGTTTCGGATGTGTTCTAGTTCAGACTGGAGCAGTTTTGAGCAGTTTTATATACTGTTTCGTATACTGGATTCTAGCGCTATATAAATCCAAAATTACATATTTATATATATCGTGTGCGTGCGCGCGTGCGTGCAGTTAGGGTAATTGTTAAAAGATACATTGATCGGTACAGGAAATATAGTAGTACAATATAGTAGTTTTGAGTGCCTTACATGAAACGTGATAGGTGGCTGTTCCACAAAGTGATCGTCGAAGCACTTCTACTATCCTAACCCTATGTTAAAGTGTTGGAGTTACGATCATCTTAGCAGCAAGATTGCTTTGAGGAGGGTTTCATCAGTGTGGCGCTGGAGTGGTGTTCAAGGGTTTCATCGGTGTGGCGCTGGAGTGGTGTTCCAGGGTTTCATCAGTGTGGTGTTGAAGGGTTTCATCAGCGTGGTGTTGAAGGGTTTCATCAGTGTGGTGTTCCAGGGTTTCATCAGTGTGGTGTTCAAGGGTTTCATCAGTGTGGTGTTCAAGGGTTTCATCAGTGTGGTGTTCAATGGTTTCGTCAGTGTGGTGTTCAAGGGTTTCATCAGTGTGGTGTTCAAGGGTTTCATCAGTGTGGTGATCAAGGGTTTCATCAGTGTGGTGTTCAAGGGTTTCATCAGTGTGGTGTTGAAGGGTTTCATCAGTGTGGTGTTCAAGGGTTTCATCAGTGTGGTGTTCAAGGGTTTCATCAGTGTGGTGTTCAAGGGTTTCATCATTGTTGTGTTCATGAGTTTCATCAGTGTGTCGTTCAGGGGTTTAATCAGTCTGTTGTTCAAGGGTTTCATCAGTGTGGTGTTTAAGGGTTTCATCAATGTGGTGTTCAAGGGTTTCATCAGTGTGGTGTTCCAGGGTTTCATCAGTGTGGTGTTCAAGGGTTTAACCAGTGTGGTGTTCAAGGGTTTCATCAGTGTGGTGTTCCAGAGTTTCATCAGTGTGGTGTTCCAAGGTTTCATCAGTGTGGTGCTAATGTCCACAGAGGTGTTAAGCCCAACTCACTCTCTCCGCCGACACTGCGCGGTCATCATTAGAGAGCATACGAAGCGTCAGTAAAAGACTCGTGTCGAAAGCATATAATCGATATTTTGCGATTTCCACTGTGTTGTGTTTCTCCAAACATCGCCCGAGTCTGTGTGCGCCGTGCACTACGTATTACGTTCCGTTGCTCAAAAGTACCCCGTATCGCGGTATGGTATCTGGAAGTCTTCGACATAACGATATACGATGGTCAGGTCGTTGACCTAGGTGGCGTGTGTACAACACAGGCCTTGACTAGCGGCACGCACCATCTGGCGCAGCCACTGAATAACGGTACTTATGTGAACGTGTCGAGAAGAGTAGCAAGCCCCACCGCCAGTAGAGGAGAACGAGCGTTGTGTAGTGTAGCGCGGCTATGTAGACTGGTGTAGGCACGGAGTAGAATACACAGTGTCGAACTGAATGTTTTCGGTCGACGAGACAGTGGAGTACAGAGTGTCAAACAGCGTCACCTGGGGAGGATACATCCCAGGCTGCTGCGCTCTAGACGGTTAACGATCACACTATCGTCTCATCCTACCGGGTACCCATACACAGCTCTGAATGGACACATATGTCCAACAATCACTTGACTAAGGCGACACCACATGTATCACATGTGCTTCAGTGTGGTGCACGAAAGAAGCCCTAGAAACTCCCAGGAGTCAAGCGGTCACCATCTCGCGACCAACGTTGCTGCCGGATTTGTGACCCACGAACCATCACGTCTAGTGCATTATAGTGTAGCGTAGTGCACCGCAGTGTGATTCAGGCTGGTAGCAGACGTGGCGTGGCAGTCTTCTACTGTATAGCACTTCATTCAATACACCACTCGACAGTAATGCTCAGTGAAGACCTGCTTTCGCTGTTTCATGTATCATTGTTCATACAAGTCACATGGCCCTACGTAGATCGAAACTACCCATCTTCAATATCCGAAACTCGACTATTAAAACTAATACGTCGACATCATCCTTGTAACTTACCTCACCAACCACCTCCACAGCATCCCCAACGTCCACCAGCGACCTTCACCTGACATATATCTGGTATATGACCACATCGATCCGAGCAACTGTTAACCGAGCTGTTGAGGTATTGACATACTTGATACTTAATGTTCATAATGACCTGGCCATTGTCACCAGTCAGTTCTCTGTCTAGCATGAAGGTACGACATAAAACTTTATGTCATAAAGTGTATTAACCTTCTGCTGTTTATCTGTCTACGGACACACTAGTCCAGTGTAGAAATAGGAGGAAATAATCACCAGTATAACTCATACATTATTTTCAAAATCATTCTAAAAAACTTGGCATTTATAACTGAGGGATTGACTTACTCTAGTCAGGAGCGTCGGCTCGTAAAGTTGTCATTAACATATTGACAAATAGGTCTATGAAACGAATCAGTATTAATTTATTAATTCAATAGTTAGGCGTGTTCATATCCGTCGGTTTAATTTCAGAGGTAATACGGATGGATGATATGTTTTGTTTGTTGGTTTGTTGTTTAACGACGCACTCAGAAATATTCTAGCTATATGACGGCGGTGAATGGGTACCCGGTAGGATGAGATGGTAATGTGGCTGGTAACAATCTAACAGACTGCTTGGGTTGAATACTCCCAGAGAGCTGAGATAGAAATCGAGTTCACACTGATCCATTGACCGGGGTAATAGTAGTGTAGCGCTGCGAGCATCTACTTGTTATCGATGCACATATTATTATCATTTTTATTATTAATTAAATGTTTGTGAAGTAGCCACGTCAACGTTCCAATTTTCTTGTTTTCAGCAAATATAGTACTTGACAGTAAGTACCGTTGGGATTGCTTGTTTTCTCCTATGCGTGTCGTAGGAAGCGATAACCTATCGAGTGGATTAGATTGGTCTATAGCGTGACAACGTACTCCGACGGCATGGAACGATGTTCACAATATCAATCACCGGTTGTAAGAATCCAAACTAGAGCCAAATTAAATCTGGATTGTTAGGTCTGCACGTTTTACAGACTCACGTCATATTGCATGGATATTGCTGAGTGCGGCGTCAAACAGAAAACAAACAAATAAACCCGTCTATCACAATACATTTCTAAGAATTGTTGATGAAAATATTTATTCATCAGAAGAATAATTAACTAAACTGATCAACGTTTCATTTGGACCCCCCCCCCCCCCCCACCCCCCCCACCCCCCACCCCACACACACACCCACACACCTCACCCCCACCCCGACAATGAACCATTTAAACAAAAGAAAAACGCTGGCATGTTCTTCTTTTGTTCGGTATTATTTTGACATTATCCATTTTGATTCAAAGGTCATAAGAAAAATAAAACTACCTATTGGAAAATTGCCAATATCATCCACTATAAAAAAACAAGTTCGACATACCCGCAGATTAAATCATCACTCTAAGCATCATAAACCTTTCATGACCACAGATATAAACACACGACCAATGTAAAAAACAAAAATAAAACACAATGTTGAACACTGTTTAGCAATCACGCAATCCTCGAAAATCTACGTTTCGCTTTTCCACTTTTCTGGCGTAAAGTTCAAAGTTGCTTTCCAAAGCATCTCCCACAAACGAGTTCCTAGCAGAAACATGAACTGATTCATATGACGCCTGTAATAGACCCTCATCTGTCGCCAGCTGTGATGTTCTACCATGGGCCGAAACGTCGGCACTACTTTCAGCGCAAGGATACCGGTGACGTAAACGTCATCCACCCAATAGAATCGCGTAGTTTCAGACGCTTTGTACAATTTCCTTGCAACATCCGGTGACATTAAATAGGCCATTCCTGAACAATATGTCGGATAGTTGTCGAATGGATAAACATTCCTCTTCACATACCACTTGTTTAATGTCTCTCTCCGTGTAAGTCCTTCATAATAAATTTCACAGTATAAGAAATTTTGACGGAACTCGTTTTTAGAAATGTATTCAACGAGGTTGAAGACGTTGATGAGTACATCATCGTCAGCTTTGACAATCAATTTGGCAGATGGGCAGTTAGATAGCACCCAATGAATTCCCATTACATGTTTATATGTCAGATTCCTGTAACTGTCCATAAACTGTCCTTGAACTATGTCTCCGTACGTTTCATTCTCCTTGTCTATTTTATTCTGCATGGTTGCATCATTTGTCCGCGCGACCATAAACACGTGTGACAACACGAAACCCCGAATGACTGTAGACCTTCCCCACGTGTTTCTCACTAGCATCCGTCTCTCATAGTGCTTAGTGGCCGAATGGATAAAGGTAATAATGTCGGGCTTGTACTTTTGGCATACCGCTGAATCAATATCGTATGCAAATTTATGTAAATTAAGCAATGGATCTTTTTCAGATTCGTTATTAATGTGAAAAAATTTGTTTATACGGATGTTCATTCTTTCCGTTGCTGATGTATTGGTAACATTTCCAGCCACGCCATTTAATGTGTCGTTTTCGTGAAGATTCATTGAATTATTCTGCTGAATGAAACGGTCATCCACCAATGATGTGGGGTTGACGTTTGTGGTAATAATAATTTTAGGAGCATAGTTTATATGACCTCTCCTGTAAATTTGTTCTGTCTGAATCGTATCCTGACTTACGTATGCTTGTGAGTGGAGCCTCTGGTCACCATATCGGACGTCCTTGTTATGGAAACCATTACGATAATAAAAGAGCTCTCGAGCAGCGAGAACAAGCACAGTTGTCACAATAAGTTTCAAAAACCTTTTCATTCTACCGCTACACACAGAGAATGCTGAAACATGCGGCATGGGTCTGTAGCTGCTATCGACACCCCAGTGTCCAGTACGGAACATCCGACAAGAAACCTTCGCTTTTACACAAGCCTGTAAAGAGATGGCGGCATGGAGGATCTGAAAATATATCAACAAATTAATGACAACTTCACTGCAAAGATTCTGAACGAATTGTACTTGATAGTAAAGCATTTGTGTAACAATATACCTGTAAATTCAGTATCGCACTTGTCCACGACCACTTACACACTGGAAACACGACGAACTCATTTTCAGTGTACTGGGGACCGAGTCTGGCCAAGGGTCTAATGTCTTCTTCTTAAACAGTCCTGACCATCACAGTCCAGTACAGAGATTCTCTACCAAGCATCAAATATCATTTAACCCTATACATTCAGCAGCAGGTGGTGCGTGACGACCGATGAATAATCATGCAGTCGATCAATGTCGTTTTTAAGATAAAGTTGATGCAGTATGCATGGGTATTGGTTATTGATCGTTTATGAAGGCTGGGGAGCTTCGAGGGGGTACGGTCTCTCAAATCTAAGTCTTCACACTTTTATACATAACCAATTAATTTATCGAGTACAAAGCAACATTTTTTGAATATGTTTCTACATTCTCTTTTCTCTATAAGAAAGGTCTGTACAAAGACATTGGTATGACCGAACTATGGCCGTATTCAGTTTCTTTTGTGTCTGCCTCAGCTACTCTAGGGTACTGATACTAATCATGGACATAAAGTATGATTAGTTATTGATATATCGACGCATGAGGACAGTCACTTGCAATTGATTTCTCGCCCTGTGGAACCGCCCGCTTATAAGTTGCCTGCAGTCAAGCGTTGTCCCTCCAGTTGCAGTATGACATAAATTACTTATGACACAGGATCGTTCATCGTAAATCTTTATCAATCAAGCACCCGGGAGACAATCCTGACGAGTGAAACTTAACTTATGCACATTTTAAAAGATAGTGCCGCCCCCGCCCCTTCAATTAAATGACTGCTCCCGATTCTGTATGCAGAATCCGTGACAGCCATACGTGTTACAGGGATTAGATACTGTGTATCTGGGACACTGAGTATCAGCCTGGCAAAGGCAAGTGGTTTATAAAGAGATATTATTCGGACATTACAGAACGAATGGTAGACACGGGATGTACCTCTGTCGTGTTGGGCACAGTAATCTTACTGAACACGGATCCACTTGCGCACCCAAGATATATTAGTCTTATCGCGTCCTCCTGTTAATGCTCACCCTTTAAACAGGAAAAGCAATGTCTCAAGGCAATCTCAACTTTAGCCAGTGTTTACAAGCATGGCGTACTGGAGACCCGTTCTGACCAAGGGTCTCGTGTCTTCTTCAAGAACCATCACAATCTAGGACAACAGATTCTCTAACAAGCATCAAAATATTATTTAACCCTTTACACTGAGTCAGGAAGTTGTTTTCTGAAGCCACCCTGAAAAATCCATTCACGGCCCCTTTGAGGTCATCGTTGTCGTCATAGCGCTTCTCACGAAGTTGTTCTTTCAGTTTAGGAAACAGGTGGAAATCACTTGGTGCCAGGTCTGGCGAGTATAGAGGGTGGGAAAGCTCTTCTAACCAACACTGACGCACAGGAGCCTTTTCATGTCAGGTATGAGAAGAGGCATAATGATTATCATGAAGGAGTAGAACTCCAGCAGTCAGCATTCCTCAGGCGATGAAGCAAATCAGCATAGTACGCACTGGTAATCGTCTTTTGAGTTTCTAAGTAATCAACAAGGATCTCCGCATTGCTGAATACAGTGGTCATAACCTTCTTCACTGTATACTTGAATTTCATTGATGCCGGAGAAGTGGAATGGTGACATTTCCATGGACAGACGTTTTGACCCCATATCATAGAGGTAGACCCATTTTTCATCATCCGTTACTAATCTCTTTTTGAATTTGTCGAAATCTTCCTCAATAAGGTCTCTGGTAATGTCAGTTCTTTTTTCCTTAAGACTAGAACAAAGAAACTTTGGGCCCCAACGACCGGAATTCTTATCATCTGTAAATGTTCATGAATAACAGTGTCAATGGATCCATGGCTTAGACTTGTTCTTTAAGCCTTAAACATAGCTGCCCAATATTTTAACAGTGGATTAGCTGGGACACTTGTTTCTAAACATGTGTGGCATGCGGTTATAAATTTCTTGGGGAGTACCTCTCTCTAAAGTCAAAAACTTGATGACTCATCGGTATTCGTTCTTTTCCATTTCTGTGTCCATGTGTACCCTTGTCTTACTGGGAAATAATAAATAGCAGATCATTTACTCCGATACGAATGCTCGCAGATAGTATGGGACGTGTATTTGGAGAAACCTTAGCTGCACACCCGCAGCCTCCACATACCGTGGGCGCGGAATAACTGCACAGTTAGGCTGGCGGAGTGGTTAAGAAGCGATCGCCACCAACACAATAAACAATTGTGGAGAACCGTGGAGATCAGGGTAGAAAAGGTGTTCAGCAATCCATGCTTGCCGTAAGAGGGCATATGCTTGTCGTAAGAGGCCATAAGGTGGTCAGGCTCGCTGAATTGGTTGACACATGTCATCGTATCCCAATTGCGTAGAGCGATGCTCATGATGTCAATCACTGGATCGTCTGATCCAGACTCGATTTTTTTGCAGGCCGCCGTCATAAAGCTGGAATTTACCGTGCAATCGAATCCGACCTTGTCCTGGTTCAAGTCAGACAAACCAGCGAGCGCACTGACCAATGAGCGCTCAGCTTACATCGGCAGTATTTCTTGTGAAACACGTGCCATAGCCTTACGGTAATTTATTTAACACATTGGGGCTCTTTTTAAAAAAATACTTTGTTACACAAAGGGCTTGTTTTACCCCCGGTTTTTTTAAAACATAAACAGTAATTGTTCGCCAGACATGATGAATGTCATCAAAACAATGGAAAACTGTTGGAAACTGTAAGATGGGTTTTGTTTCTCTAAAACCATTACCAGGATGCTAGTGCTAGTGCATACATACATATGTTTTGCATTTCTGAAACAAATAATTAATAGCAACAACATTTCAACGACCTTTGAATCGTACATTTTGCGAGAGAGCGAACCGTCTGTATTGTTCATTGACCTTGACCTTTACCGTTCACTGACCTTGACATTAACCCGTTAATTGACCTTGACATTTACCGTTCACTGACCTCTGATATAATTTTCCACCAACCTCAGGCGAAAGGTTTCAGAACTGCAATGTCTGCTAACCACAAAACACTGACTACAGATTGTCTTGTGGGCTTTTAGCAACGCATGGCTAGTTTTCCTTCAGGCCGCGGGAAGCAGGTCTTCGGTAGGTTACCATGATGAATATTTGATATACATGTATGTGGACGTTAGGTATCGACGACATTAGGTTGTAAAAGAAAAATCTACCAACGGAACGACCTTAGATTTACATTAGTATCGAATCCTACTATGTATGAACAATAACCCCACAAATCCAATGTTAATGAAGCACCTATTAGCCCGGTCACTGAGGCCGGTGCTATGAACTGCTGATATTATATATAGTGTCGGTCACTTTATTGTGGTAGAAACTGAAAGGAATCACACACGTTGAACTGCGTGTTACATATTTAACGCCCTACTCTCGCCGCATTTGTATGAACGTAGGCAATAATTGGGACGGTAAAAATCTATACCGCGCATCAGTTCGCAAAGAGACAAAATCGATGGCCATTATTCCGTAAACTTACAAAGAAGAAGCTGAGATTGAAACTTAATCATCCTTGTAGTGAGTGAGTGAGTGAGTTGGGTTTAACGCCGCTTTTAACAGTATTCCAGTTATATTGCGGCGTGTCAGCTTAATGTGGGAGGAAAACCCGAAGTGATGCAGGTCTCAGACGTTTACCACTTCGGTGAAACCCACGAGCACAAGTATGGCGCTGACAAACCTAGAAACATAATCGGGGCGAACCGGGATTCGAACCCACAATCATAGCTTTCTGGCGTGCCCAAGGGACGCAACTCTGCACAGCGAATCGCGGCGCCTTAGACGACTGGGCCACCCGTGCCCCCTAAGCATTCTTGTAAACTGCCATAAAATACAATATACACTTGAAACTTGAATTTGAACAAACAACAAAACGCTTTCAACCGTCGCTGAAACACTGAAACACAGGGTCTAAAATACAATTATGATACCCGTATCAAATACATCACCTTCGAATAACAATTTCTTGTTTGTTTCATTTTTATCCACCAACATTGGTCTGTGCTTTTTTTTTGCCCGGTAGTTTATCAATAGTGGTTACCTATAAATCTTGTTTCGATTGGGGGTCCTGTGCCATAACTCTGTAAAACTGCATTTATGATGTTGGAATTCGAACTAGATCAAAATATATATGTATGCCAACTGTCATTCTTGTAGCACAGCAGTTCCCGAAAACACTTGTCCCGACTGAAGTCGGCTTGACGGGAGGACCGGCGGACGAATCCCAAATCTGTATAATATACAATGATTGCTGTTGTATTGAAAACTGGGTTGGAACATCTTGATTAGTGATTTTTAGTGGTCCATATGAAGTGAATCTTTCCAATTACGCGCGAAGACGATGACGGACGGCGGACAAAGTGAATGAGTTTTGTTTCTATAGGCTTGGCCTTACAGCGTGTTGATGTGGCCATGTCTTGAAAGCAATGAAAATACAAATACAACATAAGTAGTCAGTACCACACCGGTGGAGAGCAGAACCGGAATTGTTCAGGTTGAAACCCGCTCTTGTACCTGTTAAATACCGCGGGATTCAAGGTAAGAATAGACCCCTCGGGCCCCGTGAGAACAAGGTAAATTGAGGATCGGATGGTCAGCTTGTTACCTATTTGATTGCGTGTCATCCCAAACCAACGCCGTGTACCGTTGCTCATTCTTTCAGTGATTGCTTTCTGAGCCCAGATAGGGACACTGGGGGCTCTGTCGTCTAAGGCGCCGCAACTCGCTGTGCAGGGTTGCGTCCCTTGAACACGGAAGAAACCGATGATTGTGGGTTCGAATCCCGGTTCGCCCCGATTACGTTTCTAGGTTTGACAGCACCATACACGTGCTCGTGGGTTTCACCGACGTGGTAAACGTCTGAGACCTGCATCACTTCGGGCTTTCCTCCCACATCAAGCTGACATACCGCGATATAACTGGAATACTGTTCATAGCGACGTTTAGCCAACCTCACTCACTCACCGTGGTGTACGTTTATCTTAAGGCCGCCGTGATATAGTTCGAATAATAATAAGCACGGCGTTAAACAACATTCACTCACTTGTACATGGTAGTCAGTCTGCCTTTCCTCCGTGCATCTGGACGTCCTTTAACATCGTCCCGTGGTATATCCCAGCCCCCGTGTGTTCAACGCACCATCAGTGAACCAGCAATGACACCGTGCTCGCGCTGATTGACTGCATTCGACACGGAATTCTCAGCCATGCATATCGTTGTGCATTGTAATAGCAGACACAATTATCTCGCTGTTATACCCGATTAGTGATATCGATTATCTGATACAGATAGCAGTGCTCGAAAAAAACATTAATGATTTTCTACCGAGAAACCAAAACACACAAAGTGGATCCTATTTGGTTTCATGTATTGATTAAACAAAATGCATTCATTGGGTGGGAAAAACTTGGCGATTTCCAACCTGATTGAACTTGATAACGTGTCGACTGACTCCTGAAAGGCGATGCGAGGTTTGGCATGTCCTGGTGATCGGGTTGAAGGCCAACATTATACACACCTATAGACAGCTACTCATTTAACAGTACTACACAATTTAACATGCGATCGCAATCGTAACACTCAATTTAAAATGGATTTCTTAAGGATGTTTACAACAAAAATCGGTTTCGTGTGAGGTAGGTTCTTACAGGCAACGTTGTTTTATACTTAATCCTGCATCAAGACCGTGGAATATATTTATTTTATGAAAAAAAATAATAATCTAGAAACGCGTACAAAAGCAAACTCTGAAATCAGCATAGGGAATTTTTTATTTTATTTTTAGAGTCAAGAAGGATATTGTGTAATATAAGATTTCAGAGACTAAATGTTAGTCAATGATATACTCAATAACGCTCAATGGTCACTGGAGTTAACTGTTTACTCAATCAACGATTAATATTCCCTTTGGCTAGCTATTATATATTATTCTCATGACCTTGACCCATACGCTTGTGTCACTGCTTTCACCTTGAGCTATATAACAATTGTAAATAATACAGTTTGCCCCCTTCCTTTTTATTACGACTGATCACTCCCTTTTCCATTTAAAAGTACCAACGTTTATTTTGTGAATCATTCAGTGCATTAGGCTCTTAAGGGTGTTCATTCTCCAACTGTTTGTCCAGTTTACTTTTGAAAAAAGTACGTTTATAGTTATATAATTAAATTTTCATTGCGTTCATTGAAATTCCTGCATTCTGATTAGTTGAATTGGTCACGTGTTATTGCATTCATTTCCCAATGAATGTAAAATATTAAGCCACGCCCACCGAGGCGCACAACTTCTATTGCTGCGGAATGTCGGGGAATCCCAATATTACAGTCAAGGGAATTCCTTTCTGCTCAAGTGTATCGTCATGCACAGGACCTTTAGCGATTTTCATGCATATTCATTATCCCAACCTACCCCTTGACACTGAAGGCCGAGAAGGAATGAAACAGCAAACGTGCAGGCTCGCTCGCCTGTTTTTATCCCGCTCGCCTCGGTTCAACTTTCATGTCTGCGGGTTTCATTTCTAACTAGCATTTTTCCAACTGTGTTTTCCCGTTTTCAGGGAAGTAATGTTTGAATCTGGTGGTAACTGGTTTCTCCTGGACATATTTCTTTCGGGGGGCGCGAATATATATATTTGAACCAGTATCACTTGTCCCCAACTTGTATTTTCATGAATCAAATAAAACTGTTTTCAATAAACTGCCCCCCCCCCCCCCCCCCCTCTCTCTCTCCCAAACTCCATAATCCCAGCCTAGTTCGACAAGTCCTGAAACTGGACTTTAATAGTCACTTAACTCCCTTGCCTCGATAAGTCGATAAGATGCACAGACCAGTGATTGATTAGTCGCCCTTAAACGCACATGTTACTGTGGATCCAGAATCCCAACGGCAACATTAGTGCTTTGAACATTGTTTTATGTCTTGAAGGAACGCATCTTATCCCTGCCATGGACACTTTACTTTTCAAACCGTTTGCATACAACTTGAATACATTCAATTCGCAGATGCCTCCATGCAGTGAATATGACTCTTAATGAGCATCCAAAGGGCACAAGCAATGCATTTTGTAAAGCTGAGGCCTTTCACTGATACCGTTAACAAAGAGTTCTGATTTGTATGGATGTTTGAAGCCTGTATATCATGACATTAACAAAGAAGGCCTATTAAAAATCCACGTATAAAAGAAAAGTGCAGTGGTTGAAAATGGAAGTCTATTGACAAAGTCAGCGTTTTTATTTCCGTGCAGAAAGCTTGTGAGTGTATGTTATCACGTGTGGGTATTCCATTGACGGCACAACGCAGTACATATGTGCAGTATAACACTTGCTGGACCAGTTCGGTCTACATGAGTACATATGTGCAGTATAACACTTGCTGGACCAGTTCGGTCTACATGAGTACATATGTGCAGTATAACACTTGATGGACGAGGCCGGTCTACATCAGTACATATGTGCAGTATAACACTTGCCGGACCAGGCCGGTCTACATCAGTACATATGTGTAGTATAACACTTGATGGACGAGGCCGGTCTACATCAGTACATATGTGCAGTATAACACTTGCTGGACCAGGCCGGTCTACATCAGTACATATGTGCAGTATAACACTTGATGGACGAGGCCGGTCTACATCAGTACATATGTGCAGTATAACACTTGCTGGACCAGGCCGGTCTACATCAGTACGTATGTGCAATATAACAGTTGCTGGATCAGGCCGGTCTACATAAGTACACGTAACTTGCACATGCGTTGTGAGTCAAGGTTATACCAGTCGTGTGTGCTTGTTGTAAGAGGCGACTAACTGTATTTGGTGGGTGACTTGGTGATTTCGTGTCATCGAACCCCAACGGCGGGGGACATTACGTGTCTTGTACAGGTTGCCGTGATATAAACTATAGGACAAAAGAAACTATACCGCTCAGTTGATTTGATCATGTGTTTGATTTCCAATTGAAAATATCTGAATATCTGAAAAAAACTGTACTGGCACTTTGTTAGTTCTGAAAGATTACATCTGCATGACTTTAGTTTATTATTTTTTTTTAATACTATTTTTTTAAACTCGCAGAGTGAGCGAGTAACTGTTATCTAACACCAGTGACTAAAATCCATAGAAACATCCACGTCAGGCAATCAGACACGCCACAGACGAACTAAACGATCGATTACGAAGTCCGCTTCTACGACAGTCATGAGGCGCTGCGAATCTCTCCTTCCCTCTCTCTCTCTGTGTCTCTCTCTCTCCCTCTCTCTCTCTCTCTCGGAGGAGGAGGAGATGGCGGAATTTCTCTCTCTGATATAATACTTGAAGACTTTAATTTGATAGAAAAAGTATTTCAGTCCACGGTTAGTTTTCTAGTTCCCTTTTGGGATACAAGGGCAGTGATGTTTCGTGTTTGAAGCGTCAGCTCATCACGTCGATTCGAACTCAGGTACACAGTATGAAGCTGATTCACTCGGCGATGTGGCTGGAACACTGCATAAAGCAGCATAAAACAGTAACCATGCGCTCCCCGAAATAAGCAGATGATAGGTAGCGTTTTTAGAAGCTGACCTACGTTCGGCCTTGAAAGGGTTCAAGTTACACAAGCCCGCCCTTATGTTATCATCGTATTCCGTAGAAAAGGTGAAAAATATTTAAGTAATATGTCGACAGGTCATAATTTTGTTGAAAACACCTGGCCCCACAACCAGGCTTCGGACGTGTCACTCCCTCTCTTATGCGTTGTTAACTTCGTAACTTGCAATATGGTAATGCGCACCCCCACCCCACCCCATTTTCCAAATCCACATTTTCTGGTGGGATCAACCTGAATGATTAGGGTGCTGTGGGGTAGCCTAGTGGTTAAAGCGTTCGCTCCTCACGCCGAAGACCTGGGTTGGATTCCCCACATGGGTACAATATGTGAAGCCAATTTCTGGTGTCCCCTGTCATGATATTGCTGGAATATTGCTAAAAACAGCGTAAAACCTCACTCACTCACTTAATGATTAACCTAGGATTGCCAAATACACTCTGGCTTCTTCACAAACTTTCTATCAGTTAACGTTGACGGGTGTGTATATTTTCCCACAGCAAGGTCTGGATCGAGACCCGAAGGCAGCCAGTTGGGACTGAATACGTTCAACGTCATCTCGTTCACTGCATCAATAAGTGATTCCTTGCTAATCTCTCGCACAGATTGAATGAACTGAAACCTCAAATCCGCCAAACATCCGCAACCTACGTGTCCTCTTTATCAGTTTGAAACAATAAAGGTCACTCACCTTCCCAACCAACGGTCGCTCGGACGGTGTACCATACTCCAGCCAGAATCACCAGCGACCGCCACTTTCTGAAGACAACATCAAGTCAATGCCATGTTAACACGCTATTGTTATGACAGATCGGTTGCATTCGGGCGATGTGACACTATTGATTTTCGTATACAACTATTGGTGGAAAACTTCCATTGCGGCAGTCCATTATGAAATAACAGCGAGCTGCTGAGTTATAACGATCCACCTGACCCAGCAAATAGTTTAATGATTTTAAAACAATTCCACCTTGGTAAACTTCCCAAGTTATTCTCTAAGTGATTGCTACATGTATAAATAATCTACTTTGCAAGGCGGCTTTCTTCACTACCACTATTTAAACAAAAGGATTGGTAAAGCCGATTCATTGATACGTCAAAATAATGTAATGTAAACCAAAGTATTGATATATCTTTGTCTCGAGATCCCACTGGGTTGGAATATGTTCCGAGTAGTTTATGACCTATTTAATTTTTTCTCTCAATGAAATTGTCAAGGGTGGTAACTCAGGTGGTTATCACGTGCGACCCACCATGAGATGAGATGCTAAATCCGTCAGTCACACGTGTGTCGAACAAGGTTGATGTTCTTTCGTTTTGATTGGGTAACCGTGATCTCGGTCAAACATAAAACGTCACATAACGCGATTTCTTCTATTTATTAATCTCCTCATTAAACTAAATAAGCACACCCCGCGCTTCAAATTCGCTTTGCATTCTGTATTAGTCTTCATAGACCTACTACAGACATAATACAATTGAGCTACATCCATTTGCCATGTCAATGTAGACTACAGACAGACCGAGGTCTCTTGGCCAACTTTTAATTTAATTATCAGCGTGGCGATATCAGTTCAAAATATTTTGATATATACTACTCAGAGTTTGCTAAGGATCAAGTTGGGATGACATAAAAAAATCATTCAACAAATAAAGTTTGAAATATCCCGGTACACAATATTTGGGTAACCCCTATCAGGGGTGAAACTACCATTGTAGCAGAAAAGCAATCGCTTACACCTATAAAAAACCACAATTCTTTAAACACCTTAAAAACAAATAAGTGAACCTCATTTTAACATCTATGCAGTAAATTATTAATTCAAACTGTACAAGATCGAACATGATATTTATTGTCTAACATATTTTCATTATAATAACAGGTCGCGTCGATTCCAGCGACATGCAGGTGGTCGACAACATTCCACAACACACAGTGGAGACAGGTTTCTCCTGATTGCAGAGAGACGTCATCACTTCCTGACTGCCGTCACGCTCGTGGCGTTAACGTTTCCACTCAGACAGTGCGTAATCGTCTGCGCGAGGATGGTCTCCGGTCAGGAAGGTCATGCATTCGCATCCCTCTGACCTGACATCACAGGAAGGCATGCTTAGACTGGGCTGAAGATCAGGTCAAGTGATTGGCCCAGGACTGGCCTCCGCTGCTTTTTACTGATGAATCGAGATGCTGTCTAGAATTCACAGATGGTCGTGCACGAGTGTGGCGTATACAAGGATTTCAAAGTTACCGAACATGACCGATATGGAGAGGGCACAGTCATGATTTGGGATGGGATTAGTAGAGCTGGAAGAACTGTTTTCGATGCCCTGTAGCGGGGCACAGCGACAGGATGACATTCTGGGTGTGTACGCGAGACCGTATCCTGGTGCAATCGGGCGAGACTTCATCCTCATGGACGACAACGCACGATCCGTGCCAGGGTTGTTGATGCCTGCTTGGAGCAGGAGACCATTGTCCACATGGAGTGGTCAGCCCGGTCACCAGACCTCAACCCTGTCGAACACATGTGGAACGAGCTAAAGATCGCCCTCTCGCGACATTCTGTCCTTCCGAGGAACGATGTACGAATAATGGGATGCAATCACCGCACCTGGTGTAGGGCCGTGGTAATCTATCATGTGTTCATAATAATGAAATTCTTAAAATTATATTCAGTAAAATTACGTTTTTAGTATACCATCGGTTTGCGAGAATTAAAAAAATAACAAAGTACATCTTTTCGTCCCCGCAATCCCACGTGTACAAAAGACTACATAGAAATAACAAATTTAATATCACTCGTAGGATACACGCATAACATAATTTGTACACACACTAAAATACCTAAGACCAATCGCCCTGCGATTTACGAGAGAGTATATTATTAAAAATACCAATAATAAAATGAATAACCATAAAACGTCATTTCGATACTTAAATACATCTAATGTGAGTTGACGTCTTTTGGATAAACTGTCAATGCCAGCGTTGGAAGCGTAACAGGGCAGGTCAGGGTTGGATGATAAACATATTAACATGTGCATAGTTTTATAAAATATAAAGTTCGCCAATTTCTTTAAACACTGATTAAAAAACTCTAATCTAATACCTTCATGCAAGGGACAGAACAGAAGACTATGCATCTCATCTGTGTGCTATTTAAACATTATCTGTGTTCATTCTCTGTGCGTAAAGGCGCCACCCTACGTCTGAATTTCACATAAGTGTATCTGTGTCCGCGGGGTTGGGGGCAGCTAAGTTCTTCTGTGGGGTATAGTCGCGTTTATACAGTGTATATATCTGTAGTTTATTTCTTCCATTCCTTGTCCTGCAGTACCAGTCGTCAGTTTGTTTATCTGTCCCCTCTCATGGTCTTGAAAAACTGCTTCTTTCGTTGCTCTTATCAACAGACGGCTTTCATTATCAGAGTCCATTTCACATGTATGGCCAAGACCCATATCTTTCAGTTTGGTAGAGACTCTATATATGGTTCTATAATTGTTTTAACTGAAAGCAGAAGAAACGACCGGATCACGATGACTTGCACTTATGAACTGAATGCCTTAAAAACTAACAACCATATTGAGTTGGAATACACACAACTGAATATTATTGACTATTTCAAATTGTTTGTAAATATCAATATCTCCTTAATGATTTTGCCTCGTTGTTATACTACTTATTGCCCTCACAAACGCCTTTGTGACAGACACAAAGGGACCCAGCAGTTAATAGGGGTGGATGGGTCTGTCGAGGTTGCAGGGGTAGGGTGCTTGAGTCTGTGGGGGTTGCCTGGGGGTAGGGATGCTTGGGTCTGTGGGGGTTGTTTGGGGTAGGGGTGCTTGGGTCTGTGGGGGTTGCTGGGGGTAGTGTGCTTGGGTCACTGGGGGTTGCTGGGGGTAGGGGTGCTTGGGTCTGTTTGGGTTGCTTGGGGTAGAAATGCTTGGGTCTGTGGGGGCTGCTCTTGGGGTAGGGGTGCTTGGGTCTGTGGGGGTGGATGGGGTAGTTGTGCTTGGGTCTGTGGGGGTTACTGGGGGTAAGGATGCTTTGGTCTCTGGGGGTTGCTGGGGGTAGGGGTGCTTGGGTCTGTTTGGGTTGCTTGGGGTAGAAATGCTTGGGTCTGTGGGGGCTGCTCTTGGGGTAGGGGTGCTTGGGTCTGTGGGGGTGGATGGGGTAGTTGTGCTTGGGTCTGTGGGGGTTACTGGGGGTAAGGATGCTTTGGTCTCTAGGGGTTGCTGGGGGTAGGGGTGCTTGGGTCTGTTTGGGTTGCTTTGGGTAGAGGTGCTTGGGTCTGTGGGGGCTGCTCTTGGGGTAGGGGTGCTTGGGTCTGTGGGGGTGGATGGGGTAGTTGTGCTTGGGTCTGTGGGGGTTGCTGGGGGAAGGGGTGCTTGGGTATGTTGGGGTTGCTGGGGGTAGGGGTGCTTGGGTCTGTTGGGGTTGCTTTGGGTAGGGGTGCTTGGGTCTGTGGGGGTTGCTGGGGGTAGGGGTGCTTGGATCTGTTGGGGTTGCTGGGAGTAGGGGTGCTTTGGTCTGTGGGGGTTGCTGGGGGTAGAGGTGCTTGGGTATGTTGGGGTTGCTGGGGGTAGGGGTGCTTGGGTCTGTGGGAGCAGCTCTTGGGGTAGGGGTGCTTGGGTCTGTGGGGGTTGCTGGGGGTAGGGGTGCTTGGGTCTGTTGGGGTTGCTGGGGTTGGGTTGGTTTGTGGTGGTTACTCGGAGTGGGTATGACTGTGTCTGTTAGAGTTGCTGGCATTGCTTCTGTCTGAGGAGGAGTCTCACAACTCGGCTACCAGCATATCCATCGATTACGATTTTTAGCTGAACTTGAGGCCAAAGTACAAGTTTTTTCCTGGAACAACCGAATTCTGCACACAGTGTCGTTAGGTCATTAACAAGCAGTGACTTTAGAGTCACTAACAAGCAGTGTCGTTAGAGTCACTTACAAGCAGTGTCGTTAGAGTCACTACAAAACAGTGTCGTTAGAGTCAGTAACAAGCAGTGTCGTTAGAGTCACTAGCAAGCAGTGTCGTTAGAGTCACTCACAAACAGTGTCGTTAGAGTCAGTTACAAGCAGTGTCGTTAGAGTCACTACCAAACAGTGTCGTTGGAGTCACTACAAAACAGTGTCGTTAGAGTCAGTAACAAGCAGTGTCGTTAGAGTCAGTAACAAGCAGTGTCGTTAGAGTCACTAGCAAGCAGTGTCGTTAGAGTCACTACAAAACAGTGTCGTTAGAGTCACTACCAAACAGTGTCGTTGGGGTCATTACAAAACAGTGTCGTTAGAGTCACTAACAAGCAGTGTTGTTAGAGTCACTAACAAGCAGTGTCGTTGGAGCCTCTACCAAACAGTGTCGTTAGTCACTAATAAGCTGTGTCGTTTATGTCATTACAAACCTGTGTCGTTAGAAAGAAAATACCACCAGATAAAAACTCTATTACTGGAGACATTACTACAGCGACAATGACTTGATAACTGACACACAATTACCAAGGAAACACTGACTTGAGACACAGTCAGTAGACACACACTTACCAAGGAAACAATGACTTGACACACAGTCAGTAGACACACTATTACCATGGAAACAATGACTTGAGACACAGTCAGTAGACGCAATTACCGAGGAAACAATGACTTGAGACACAGTCAGTAGACAGACACTTACCAAGGAAACAATGACTTGACACACAGTCAGTAGACACACAATTACCAAGGAAACAATGACTTGAGACACAGTCAGTAGACACAATTACCAAGGAAACAATGACTTGAGACACAGTCAGTAGACGCAATTCCTAAGGAAACAATGACGTGAGACACAGTTAGTAGACACACACTTACCAAGGAAACAATGACTTGAGACACAGTCAGTAGACACACTATTACCAAGGAAACAATGACTTGAGACACAGTCAGTAGACAGACACTTACCAAGGCAACAATGACTTGACACACAGTCAGTAGACACACAATTACCAAGGAAACAATGACTTGAGACACAGTCAGTAGACGCAATTAGCAAGGAAACAATGACTTGAGACACAGTCAGTAGACACACTATTACCAAGGAAACAATGACTTGAGACACAGTCAGTAGACAGACACTTACTAAGGAAACAATGGATTGAGACACAGTCAGTAGACACAATTAGCAAGGAAACAATGACTTGAGACACAGTCAGTAGACACAATTAGCAAGGAAACAATGACTTGAGACACAGTCAGTTGACACACAATTACCAAGGAAGCAAAAAGTTGAGACACGGTCAGTAGACACACAATTACCAAGGATACACTGACTTGAGACACAGTCAGTAGACACACAATTACCAAGGATACACTGACTTGAGACACAGTCAGTAGACACACACTTACCGAGGAAACAATGACTTGAGACACAGTTAGTAGACACACACTTAGCAAAGAAACAATGACTTGAGACACAGTCAGTAGACACACTATTACCAAGGAAACAATGACTTGAGACACAGTCAGTAGACACACACTTACCAAGGAAACAATGACTTGAGACACAGTCAGTAGACACACACTTACCGAGGAAACAATGACTTGAGACACAGTCAGTAGACACACACTTAGCAAAGAAACAATGACTTGAGACACAGTCAGTAGACACACACTTACCGAGGAAACAATGACTTGAGACACAGTCAGTAGACACACACTTTGCAAAGAAACAATGACTTGAGACACAGTCAGTAGACACACACTTACCAAGGAAACAATGACTTGAGACACAGTCAGTAGACACACACTTAGCAAAGAAACAATGACTTGAGACACAGTCAGTAGACACACACTTACCAAGGAAACAATGACTTGAGACACAGTCAGTAGACTTAATTACCAAGGAACAATGACTTGAGACACAGTCAGTAGACAGACACTTAGCAAGGAAACAATGGATTGAGACACAGTCAGTAGACACACACTTACCAAGGAAACAATGACTTGAGACACAGTCAGTAGATACAATTACCAAGGAAACAATGACTTGAGACACAACCAGTAGACACACACTTACCAAAGAAACAATGACTTGAGACACAGTCAGTAGACACACTATTACCAAGGAAACAATGACTTGAGACACAGTCAGTAGATACAATTACCAAGGAAACAATGACTTGAGACACAGTCAGTAGACACACACTTACTATGGAAACAATGACTTGAGACACAGTCAGTAGACACACAATTTCCCAAGGAATTAAAAAGTTGAGACACAGTCAGTAGACACACACTTACCGAGGAAACAATGACTTGAGACACAGTCAGTAGACACACAATTACCAAGGAAACAATGACTTGAGACACAGTCAGTAGACACACAATTACCAAGGAAACACTGACTTGAGACACAGTCAGTAGACACACAATTACCAAGGAAACAATGACTTGAGACACAGTCAGTAGACACACAATTACCAAGGAAACAATGACTTGAGACACAGTCAGTAGACACACAATTACCAAGGAAACACTGACTTGAGACACAGTCAGTAGACACACAATTACCAAGGAAACAATGACTTGAGACACAGTCAGTAGACACAATTACCAAGGAAACAATGACTTGAGACACAGTCAGTTGACACACAATTACCAAGGAAGCAAAAAGTTGAGACACAGTCAGTAGACACAATTAGCAAGGAAACAATGACTTGAGACACAGTCAGTAGACACAATTACCAAGGAAACAATGACTTGAGACACAGTCAGTTGACACACAATTACCAAGGAAGCAAAAAGTTGAGACACAGTCAGTAGACACAATTACCAAGGAAACAATGACTTGAGACACAGTCAGTAGACACAATTAGCAAGGAAACAATGACTTGAGACACAGTCAGTTGACACACACTTACCAAGGAAGCAAAAAGTTTAGACACAGTCAGTAGACACAATTACCAGGAAACAATGACTTGAGACACAGTCAGTAGACACAATTAGCAAGGAAACAATGACTTGAGACACAGTCAGTAGACACAATTAGCAAGGAAACAATGACTTGAGACACAGTCAGTTGACACACAATTACCAAGGAAGCAAAAAGTTGAGACACGGTCAGTAGACACACACTTACCAAGGATACACTGACTTGAGACACAGTCAGTAGACACAATTACCAAGGAAACAATAACTTGAGACACAGTCAGTAGACACACACTTACCGAGGAAACAATGACTTGAGACACAGTCAGTAGACACTCAATTATCAAGGAAACAATGACTTGAGACACAGTCAGTAGACACACAAATACCTAGGAAACAATCAATAAACACAATTACCAGAGACGCTAACACTATAAACACAGTTACTGAGAACACAAGCATTAAAGACACAATCACTGGAGACAGAACAGCTGGAGTCGCTGTCACCATCGCCTTTTTAACTGGATGTTTGGTATATGTTTCAGCACTTAGAGACAAGGGACAACGAACGACAACCAATGAACCTTGAAACAATGCCATCATGGGGAACATTACGCACATAGAGTTTACCCACATCCAATGTAAATGTTAAACTGCCACTGCGGGGGTTGCCTTCGTGAGTCTTTGTTACCGTGGTTACCCTTACGTTCATCATCAAATCCATCACACAATAGACATCGGCCAGATCGGTATTACCACATTGATTTGAAAACATGGTTTCACATTTCAGCTCAAACGAAAAAAAAGAAGCCTGTTTAACACAGACATTTACCACGGTGTAATTGATTTTACAATGTACACTTCAATAGACGTCCGTCAAACTAAAATATTTGGAACGTCAACAAATGGCAAGCATTGATTTTTCTCCTGGACTTTAATGATGAACTCATACCTCACTAACCAACACGGTTTGTGTAGTGCTGCATCACTATAGTGCTTGTTGGTTCATAGGGAGTCTGCCCATGTAACAAGTGGTTACTAAGGAAATAATATGGCTAATTATGTTTTCTTCAAAGCGTACAAGACTATTAACCTCATTGTCTTTTCACCTTCACAAACGTCTACCAAATCAATGGGTTCTGTCAGATGTTGATTCTAGCCCAAAGAAGAGGAGCTGTTTGCGTATATTTGTTAACATTAGGGGTCGATGGGATTCCGTTCAGATGCAGACATGGTAGGACCTCTCAGAGCCATATACGATTACCGGTATGCAAACCTCTTTTGGTAACAGTTCGCAGTTCGTAAATACGCCATTTATTAATTAACTATATTATCACAAAAGATAGATTTATGCCTTGTATAATCAATGTTGTTATGTGCCAAAGGCATCTATAAGCTGGAAATACAAATGATGAAAATCATATTTGCTCTAGTTATGAGTGAATGAGTGAAACGTCAATACTTCACGTGTACACGTCCACCTCCCGTGAATACATGGTTGAAGCTTTCGCTCATCACACCAAAAATCTGGGCTACATGGGTACAATGTGCCAGTCCAATTTCTGGTATTTCCCGCCCTGATATTGTTGGAAAACTTCTAAAAGCGGCGTAAAACCAAACTCACTCACTCACTCATTATAGCATTATGTCCAGCAGTCGACCACAAGGCTAGATATTCGTTGTACAAGGCAAGTTATATGTTAGCTACATGTTACACAAGGCTAGTTACATGTTACAAAAGGCTAGTTTCATGTTGCACAAGGCTAGTTATATGTTACAAAAGGCTAGTTACATGTTGCACAAGGCTAGTTACATGTTACACAAGGCTAGTTACATATTACACAAGGCTAGTTACA